GGTTGGTGGGACGGCGAAGGAGAGGAAGACCCTCGATGAGATGGATCGATTCAGTGATTGGGGTAATGGGAGTAGGTGTGTGGGAAACAGTGAGGTTGGCACAGGATAGAACAAGGTTTAGGGCTGTTCCTTGAAGGCAAGTATTCTGAAGCTTCATCTGATATACTTTGGACATGTTGCAAGGTGGGATCAGTCCTTGGAGAGTGACGTCACGCTTGGGAAGGTAGAGGGACTGTGCAAGAGAGGGAGACCTTCAATGAGATGAACTGATTCAGTTACTGGGGTAATGTGGATGAGCGTTTTGGAGATAATAAGATTGGCAAGGGATTGAGCCGAGTTTAGGGCTGTTGTAAATGGGTCACTAGGGGTCGCAGGTGACCCAACGGCATATAACAACAACTAATTTATTTACAAAATTCTGATAACATTGTTTTCAAGAACAAATTTTTTCAATTTCCCTCACCTCCCTAGCCATCAAATTGCAGCACCCTTGATTAATCTCCCCTGCCCCTGCACATCCTCATTCCTCCACTTCCACCCTCTCCCACCCCTATTGGATCCTTATACTTATTCTCCAATAATGGTTTTATACAGTATTTACCCTTCTGGGACTGAGTTTACTCAGCATAATGCTCTCCAGTCCCTCCCAAGTTAGGTAATAAATTACAAAATCATTGCTCTTGTGTGCTGCACAGTATTCCATTGTGTGAACGTACCATAATTTCTCAATACATTTATTTGTTGTTGGACATTTGGACTATTCCATATTCTTGTTATGGTGAATAATGCTGCTGTGAACACTGGTGTACAAATCTCCATTTGTGCCTCAGTTCTCATTTACTTAGGGTATATTCCAAGTAGTGGAATACCTGGGTCATATAAAATTTCTATGTTCAACTTTTTGAAGAAGCACGAAACTGCCTTCCAGAATGGTACCATTTTACAATCCCACCAACAATGTATAAGAGTTTCTTTCTCACCACATTCTCTCCAACATTTATTACTTGCTGCCTGAGCCTCCAAAAGACTTTTCCAATTACAAAATGGGTTAAAGATATGGAAAGAATTTTCACAGAGGAAGATACTCGAATGGTAAAGAAATGCTTCAAATCACTGGCAATAAGAGAGATGCAAATCAAAACCACAATGAGGCACCATCTCACTCCAGTAACAGTGGCAAAGTTTACACTTATAAGTTATTACATGAGAAATGCCAGAAAGTAAAATAAATAAATTCCAGAAAGAGACCTGCAAAACTGTTAGGTCAATTCTCACTGTTGTAGAATGGGACTGTCCTTGGGGTTGGGGAGAGACTGAGTAAGATGGATTCAATAATGTATACTGCACTGAAACAGAGGAGGGAGAAAACTGTTTAAAAGAGATATATAACTAGGTTATTTCTGTCACCACAGGAGACTAGAGCGAGGGCTACATGGTGGAGGGGACCTGGGGGAGGGTTTGTAAAACAATGAAAGAATCCTTTCTTTTACTTTTCCATAATTTTTGATTCATGTACTTATAACTTGTTATGTCAAATTTGTGTCTTCTAGGTTGCAACACCCCCATGATACATCTTCAAGGATATGAACATGTACGGCCAAGCACAATCAATAAGAGTGCATCTAAATTCCAAAATCAATCTCCATAATAGTCTATGTGTTTCCTACTGCCAAAGGGGCCCTTTAGAGTAGTGAGAGAAGATCTTCACCCTGAAACCCACAGCGTCCCTTTTCATCAGGAAGTAGCTAAGAGAATACGCCATCCCCTTTTCCTTATAACTCAGGGTGAAGTGACAGGGAATGGCAAAGGACACACTGACAAAGAAGATTAATTAGAACTGGCTTTGACAAGCACTGTGGCATTTGGACAAGAACAAACTGGGAGGAGGGTAGAGAGAATAGTGCAACAATGAATGAATGGAAACCCAAAATCTCTGTAAATGTTTATGAAAATTAATAAAATATAATTATAGAAAAAAAATTCTCTAATATATACACTAAAATTTGATAATTAATGTTATCACGTATCTCTTTCACCCTCAAGAGACTGAGATTTAAAGATAATTCTCCTAAAATATTTTCAACAATATCTGTATCCAGCCTTTAACTTCCCTCTCATCTTTCATTCCCTCTTCCAAAAACCACAAAAGAATGGATTTTTCCTCTCCCTCCTTGGCAACTGGAGTAAGGAGGAAAATAACATGTCAATCACAAATCCTATCTGATCTAAATGTACTTTTTATCAGAATAAATATCTATAAAACATAGTCAATAAAGTGTCCAAATAGTAATTGCCCCTTTATATATGGCTTCTTCCTTCATATATCCAATGTGGAATCTCTCTAAGTAACTATAACTAACACATACTCTAATTTCTAAACATAAGATTTGTTTTTGATAGGTATCACCAAGTTGATCACGACTTACAGTAACCCTATGAACAGCAGACCTGACCCCTGCCTTATCCTGTGGGATCCTCATCACCCCTGCTATACTCAATCCAGCACTGTGTCAATCCATCTTGTTGATAGACTTCTTCTCTTTGACTGACCCTCCATATTCCCAAACATGATGTAATCCTTTTCTAAGGACCGGCTTTTCCTAACTACATGCCAAAAATATGTGATATGAAGTTAATGAGGGCTAAATGTTTCTTAGTGAGGAGATATTCCATGAAGTACAACTCTGGTTCCTAGAGCTGAATGTGAATCTTCCAGCAGACTCATTTGGAGAACGTGTTAAGATACAAATTTTCTGGATTCCAATCCTAGTTTGGTAATCAGTAGGTCTAAGAGAAGCTCCAAAATTTTTATTTCTAAAAACTTTCTGGATGGTGTTAATGTTCCTCCTCCTTAGCTCACATTTTGAGAAACATGACTCTCTATTAACATGGATCTCAACTGGGGAGAATTTTTCTTTTTTCTTGTAAGTTTCATTATATTAAGTGTGCTTGAAGCACACACCATGGTGATTAAAGAATTTGGTCAAGATGGTGAGTTCTGGACCACAAAGATCTCCAATACAATAGCTGGGTACTGAATTACTTTATCTGAAGAAACAAAGAACTTCAGTGAGTATTTTGGTACAATTTATAGAAAAGGTAAAATAAACAAGACATTCACACCCTGTGGCTGTGGGAAAGCCAGGTTTAAGCTTTGCTCAGCTCTCACCATCAGTGTCCCTCATCACTGTCTCCAGAGTACACTTGCCAAAGAGATACTCTGTCAGGCTAGATGTCAGGGTGCACATTTTGCCCAAGTTACTAGCTACCTTGTTGCTTGATGGATTTCACCAGCTCATCCATTAAGGGCTGGTTGACACCTTTTCTCACATATAATGCACACTCCATTGCATTCAGCCTGCTTTCCCATTGTGGTCTGGTTTCTCATCTTAAAGGAAGAATGCGGCTGGCTGGCTGCTTCTGCAGTTTCATTAGTCTCTCAGCTTATTCTCTCTCCTCATAGTATTGATGGAGAAAATATTTGGCAAAATTCTCCAAAGCTATGTTATCGCAATGGAAATACTACGACAAGGCCAGGGAGACCAGGGTGTGTAGAGCTCCAGGTTGATCTGGTAATTGGTGGCCTTTGAGTCCTCGTTCTAGTTGAGACACACCTACAAAGGGACCTCGAGCATCATGGTAGAGGAGGCAGAGAGGTGGTAGTTGCATGATGTTGGAGCAAGGTGACGACGACCTTGGGGTGTCTGAGGGTGCTGATATGCAGAGCTGTCTGGGGAGGTGCTGGTGTGCACCAGGTTCTACTCAAACACTGTTGAAGCAGGAAACTGCACTGACTCTGTGAAGACTGTCTCAGAGGACATTTAGCAACATCTGTGTTGACTGGCATCCATTAAAGCAGGTAAGCAGCTTACTACACACAGGATAAGCCCGCACAACAAATAATTATCTGGTCCAAAATGTCAATGGTGCTGAGCGTGAAAAGCCCTACTGTAGGCTAAAACAACTACAGGTGTATAATTTCACCAGTAAGTTGGTGACTGTTAGAAATTGAACACGGAATACTGATAACTATGACATTTACTAAGCCAAAATAAAAGGAAGTTTTAAAAATATTACTGCTTACAGATATACCAGGTTACAGAAGAAAATAAACATTTATGCAATCTTATAGTAGATTACTAATAAAGAAAACCTGACAGTCTGTTCACAAGAATTAAAAGAAAATGAAAATTAATCTGCTCTATAAACGTTCACTCAAATCACAATTCTGAAAAAAAAAATATAGAAGAAAACTCATTCATGAGTTGGAATCAACTCATAGCTGAACAGCAGGTTCCTGAAGCTATAAATCATATAATAACCTAAGATTTCATCATTCTCCCACAGAGCTGGGGTTGGATTTGAACCTCCAGAGAAGCGCTAGCCATAGGTTAGCAGTGTCCCTCCTCAAAGACTAAGCCACCAGAGCTTCGTACAAGAAAACTAGTTAGATTAAAGGTAACTGTTTAAAAGGGATATGTGATCAGGTATTTTTGTCATGACGGGAGTCCAAAATGAAGGTTGCGTAGTGGAGTGAACCTGGGGGTAAGGGATTGTAAAACAAGGAATTCTTCTTTCACTTTTCAAAGAGAGGAGTGAACTGGGGGGAGGAGGGGTGGGCAGAGAGAAAAGTGCAACAATGAGTGAATGGAAATTCAAAGTCTCAGTAAATTTTCATTAAAATTAATAATAATTTAAAAAAGAAACAAGAAGGGAAAGAAAATTAGAATAAAAAAAGACTAACTTCATTGAAAAGCGATAATAAACAATGCTTATCCTATAAGCCATGTAAAAAGCATATAGGGATTCATTTCAGTATCACACATACTTGTATGAAATATTTTATAATGAAAAATTTCTTTTAAGACAAAGTCACAATTTCAGTAGTAACAAAATCTAAGTATTTATTTAAAGAAAATATACTTCACACACACACACACACACACACACACACACATGAATGTATGTGTATGTATATAGAGACAAATAAGTGAACTTACCCCAGTAGGCTGAAAAATGAGTCCATCCATCTCATGGCTTACTTCTTTGGCAAAACTTCCTTCAAGGAGCTAGATCATAAATAAACAAGTAATTTTTTTTAAAATGTAATAATCATTTAAATATTTTAAAAGATTTATAACAATTTCTTAATACACAAGGCTTTAGGAACTAAAAACAAGAGGAGTCTTCATGGATCTATATTAATATGTTGTTGTTGCTGTTATGTGCCACTGAGTTGCTTGTGACTCAGAGCCCTAAACCCTGCTCTATCCTGTGCCAACTGACACACCTACCCTCTTTACCCACCGTTTCTGAATCAATCCATCTCATCGAGGGTCTTCCTCTCTTGCGCTGTCATTCCACCCTCCCAAGCATGATGTCCCTCTCCAAGGACAGGTCCCTCCTTCTAACATGTCCAAAGTATGTCAGGCGAAACTTCAGAATCCTTGCCTCCAAGGAGCAGCCTGGTTTCACCCACTCCAGGACAAACCTGTTTGTTCTCCTAGCAGTTCACAGTATGTATATTCAACACTCTTCCCCAGCACTACAGCTTAAAGGCATCAATTCTCTTTTTATCATCCCTAGTCATTGTCCAGCTCTCTGAGGCATAGGAAACAATTGCAAAGACTATGTATGACCTGGATCAATCAGGTGCACCTTAGTCTCCTGACTTGCATAGTTCTTCAGTACTCTGGAGAGGGCCCTGCCAGCTGACTTTCCCAGTAACAATTCGTCTCTTGATTTCCTGACTGTTGGTTGATTGTAGAGCCAAGGAAACTAAAACTGTTAACAATCTCAATCTCTTCACCATCAATCATGAGGCTGCCAATTGGCCAGTGGTGTAAATCTTTGTTTTTTGATATTGAGCTTCAATCCATATTAAAGGCTGCAGTCCTTGACCTTCTGTGCTTCAAGTCCTCCTCGGCATAACACAGATTGCTGAAGAATCTTCCTCCAATCCTGATGCCACATTCCTCCTCATACAGCCCAGCCTCCCAGATGATCTGTTCTGCATATAGATTGAAAAGGTATGGAGACAGAATACATCCCTGGTGGACACCCTGCCCAATTTTGAACCATGCAGTGTCTCCTTCCTCTGTTCAAGTATAGGTTTCACATAAGCACAATCAAATGTTCTGGGATTCCCATTCTTCTTAGAGTCAACCACAGTTTATTATGATCCACACAGTCAAATGCCTTTGCATAGTTAATAAAAGATAGATATTCCTCTGGTACTCTCTGCTTCCAGCCAAAATCCATCTAACATTAGCTATAATATCCCTAGTACCATGGCCTCTTCTAAACCTAGGCTGCATATCTGGCAATTCTCTGTTGACGTATGGTTACAGTCATTTTTTTATAATTTTCAGCAGAATCTTGCTTGCATGTGATATTGATATTGTTTGATAATTTCTGCACTTTAATAGAGCAACTTTCTTTGAAATGGGAACAAATATCAATCTCTTCCTGTCAGTTGGCCAGATGGCGGTCCTCAGATTTCCTAGCACAACTTAGCACATTCAGGGCAGCGTCTGTTTCTTGAAATATGTTAATTGGCATACCATCAATTCATGGAGCCTTTTTATCCTGCCAATTCTTTCAGAGCAGCTTGAACTTCTTTTATCACCACAGGCTCATACAGTGTTTCATGAAATTTTTCTGTTTCAGTCAATTCCTTCTGGTACAGTGACTCTGTATATTCTTTCCATTTTCTTTTAATATTTCTTGGATCATTTAACATTCTGTCCAAAGTTAAGTATTGCCACTTGTGGATTGAATTTGTTTTTAAATTCCTTCAACTTAAGAAATGCTGAGTGAGTTCAGGCCTTCCGATTTTCTGACTCTAGCTCTTTGCATATTTCATTTTAATACCTTGCTTTGTCTTCCCAGGTGCCCTTTGAAATTTTCTGCTGAGCTCCTTAATTTCTTAATTTCTTCCTTTAGCTTTGGCTTCTCGGTGTTCCAATGCAATATTTGGTCTTCGCTTATTGGTGTTCAAGTCCTCAAACCTATTCCTGAGGTGGTTTTGAAATTCGAGTGGGATAGACATGCCCCATGTCAAGCCATCTCATTTTGCCAATATTTATGCACTCCATTTCTTTCTTCATAATGTCCAATTTTCCTACATTCACGTTTCTGACATTCTACGTCACAATCATTATCACTCTTTCTCCTCACTTATGTTTCCAAATTTGAGGGCTCAGCCACCAGTGTCATATCTACTAACTGATTCTCATGAACTTTTCAATAATTTCTACATTCTTTAGAGTCACCTTTCTTGAGAACAGGAACAAATATTTAACTAGTACTGAACTAGTACAAAAGAAATGGAATATGCAGGGGCTAACACCAAAGTGAACTAGAAAACCTAGTTAATAAAAAAGAATAAAAAAGACATTTTTAAAAAATAAACATCCACAAAGGAGACAGAAAAGAAAAGTTTTGTTACTGTGTGGAAAGAGGGAAAATGAAAATCTCTCAGAGAAAATGCAACCACAGCTAACACATCCATGGGGGGATTACAGTACAAAGACACTATGATTACACCTATGCTTTCCAAATACTCTCCAATTGGGAATTTCTTTTAATCTCTCATTTCCCCCCCACCCTAGTTTTATAGTTTCAGTTTTATGAATTTTTAAGTATCCTTTATGAATAAAAGATTTTTATAAGAGGTATGGTATGCAAGAGGAATCACAGTGTTTTCAATACCATTTTCATGAGAGTCTGGGAGGAGGAAAGGTGAAAAGCTCAGCTGCCAGCAAAAATGGCATTCCCATCTTCCAATCCCTTAAACTTACAGCCAATCCGACCTTGAATAAATACATAGATTTCCTTAAGATTGCAATGTTCTTGATATATTTTTATTTATTTTTTTTTATTTCAATGAACATCTACAGAGATTTTGGAATTCCATTCATTCATTGTTACACTTTTCTCCCACCCCCACCCCCGATTTGCTCCTCTCCTTGAAAAGCAAAATAAAAACTCCTCCACTGGTACACAATCCACCCCCCCGCACACCCCCTAACCCTGCCCCCACCCCAAATATAATCCACTCTGCATATTTTTATTGGTCCTTATCACAACAGTAAGAATCAAAAACATTGTGAACATCAGGATTACCAAAGCTTATTTATCTAGAGTTCACACAAATGGGTAAAAATTTCAGAAGTTTTGAGATTCAAGATGTGTGTTCAAAACTTCTGTACCTGATAAAACTTGCCCAATTCATAATGTCAATTCTGCTGAGGAATGATGCAATGAAAATTAAATATTTCAAACATATCTTTTAATAAGAAAAAATGAAAATATTTCTTTTGCTTTTATTGTAGGAATATCATTCATGGCACATAAATTTTTCCTACTCATGGAACAAATTTCTAAAATTCATATAAAGTATATATAATCTATATGTGTACTGTTGTTGTTGCTGTAGAGTCAATCACAATTCAAAGCAACCCTATGAACTAAAGATCTGAACCGTGTTGTAGCCTGTGCCATCCTCACATTTCCTGATACACAAGGGCACACTGATGCAGTCACCATATCAATCCACCTGGCTGAGGATCTTCTTCTCCACCAACCCTCCACCTAACCCAGCATCATGCCATTCTCCAAGAAAAAGCCCCTCCTAGCAACATCCCCAAAGTATGTAAGGCAAAGCCTCATCATTCTTGTCTCCAAAGAGCACTCCACTTGCACCCTCTCCAAGACATAGCTGTTTGTTTTCTTGGCTGTCCACGGGATGTTCTCTTCTCCAACACCACAGCTCAAAGCCATCAATTCTTCTTCTGTCATCCTTATTTACTGTCCAGCTCTAAGAAGTATAGCAAGTGATCAGAAAGACTGGCTTGAATCAGACACACCTTAGTCGTCAAACTAATATCATTACTCCTCAGTAGTTTAGAGAGGTCCCTAACTGCAGATTTTCCAGTGTAGTGAGTCTCTTTATTTTCTGACTGCTGATACCAAGGGTGTAAATTGTGGATCCAGGCAAGACGAAGATGTTGACAGCATCAACCTCCTCTTCATCCATCATGACGCTGTCTATTAGTCCCAGTGTTACACTGAAATCTTTGTTTTCCTGACATTGAGAAACAATACATACTGAAGGCTGCATTCCTTGATCTTCTGCAACAAGTGCTTCATGTCTTCCTCAATTTCAACAAGCAAGGTTGTATGTATGATCTGCATAACACAGGTTATCAGATTGACTACATAAGTGGAAGAAATCATTGGAGAAGCTCAATATCGGCAGTCAAAACTAGGCCCGGGGCATACTCAGACACAAGTTCAAACTAAGGCCAGAAAAAATGAAAATGACAAGTCAATAGTAAAGAAGATATGATCTTGAATCAATTCCATCTGAATTTCAAGATCATCTTAAGAACAGGTTTGAGGCACTGAACACCAATGATGGAAGACTAAATGAGTTGTGCGATGATATCAAGGAGATAATCCATGAAGAAAGCAAATGGCCATTATAAAAACAGGAGAATGAAAATACCAAAATGGATGTCAGAAGATGCTATAAAGATTGCATTATAGTGTTTAGTAGCCAATAGCGACAACAAAGAGCTGAACAGAATATTTCAAAGGCCAGCTGTCTGGCCAACAGACTGGAAGAGGGCCATATTTGCTCCCATTCCCAAGAAAGATGACACAACTAAATGTGGAAAATATCTAACAATATCATTAATATCACATGCAAGTAAAATACTGCTGAAGAGCATTCAAAAATAGTTAGAGCAGTACATACACAGGGAACTGTCAGTAGTTCAAGCAGGATTTAGAAGAGGCCATGGCGCCAGAAATATCATTGCTGATGTCAGATCCTGGCTGAAAGTAAGGAATACCAGAAGAATATCTATTTTTGTTTTATTGGCCATGCAAAGGCATTTGACTGTGTAAATCATAACAAGTTGTGGCTGACATTGAGAAGAGTGGGAGTCCCTGAGCACTTAATTGAGCTCATGCAGAACCTAAAGCTGGATCAGAAGGCTGCTGTACGAACAGAGCAGGGGAACACTGTATGGTTTAAAATTGAGAAGGGAGTGAATCAGGG